AATACTAAATTCTTAGAACTAACATTATAAGAATTGTATAGTTGACAGTAAGGAGAATTACAAATTTGAACTGGGAGTTAAAGGTTTAAATTTTATTTGATCAAAAACATGAATGCCAATAGAGGAAATTAGCTAGAAAAATTCAAGTTTCCCCTCTTTAAGTATTCAGTGATGTTTTTCTATCACATGGTCAAGTTTACAGTTCCCCTCATTTCACTGTCTTCTGTTCACTTGTTTGTTTGCTTACCTAACAATCTTAGCTATTGTTGCCAACAAATGCGAGGAGCATATACATGAAAATGTGTACAGCTAATAACACTTTAATCCCTGAGAGTGACTAGCATCTAATTTCTCCATTCAATATCACCCCTGAGTCACACATTAAGGTCATGAGAATAAAGGAAAAGATAATCAACTGAAGAACCTCTTGATTGTTAAACAAATTCTCCTTGCCAGCACATAAGGAAATATATAGAGAACAGTTTGGAGAATATGCATTCTGATATTGGAGTGTAAAGGGTTAAAGACATCATGTAATCAGCTATATATATGTAGAGTACTGCTTGAATATATGATTACATTAAGTACAAATGCCAAGTAAATATCATTCTGTGGTCTTCTACTCTTCCACCCTGAATGTTGCCTTGTGTAACAAAAAAAAAACCTTTTTAAAGACACCTCTACAATGGTAGGTACACACAACTGACATGTATGAGTGAAGCATGTCAAGCACTGAGGTATGATTGTCAATTTGCCTTTCATTACTTGCAAACAGCTTACTTCTATCAGCCTTAAAAACTTATGTATCCCCACTTTCAAAGAAAAGCATTTCCCATGAAAATTTAAGCATTAAAGACATAAGCTACCAGCAACAGGTTTTTCCATTGCAAGTGTTTCATTTCATCAGATTCTCATCACATTTTTTTGTTACTGGTACATTTGAAAGCATAAGAATATTTTAATCATTACAATATGTTGAAATCCCCCATATTAACCCCAGGTTGAGAACCTTGTCAAGATCTTTATCTTGGAAGGATCTTGCCAAGATCTTGGCAAGTTCCTACCAAGATCCTGTCACAATCTTGAACAAGTTGATGTTTGCAAGATCTTGACAAGACACAAACAAAATCCTAATAAGATCTTGCTAGAATCCTGCATCATTTGTTTTCAAAAGTTGGGTATGAAATCTTGGCGAGATCATGACAAGATCTTGACGGCTCTTTAAAAATTGATGTTTGCAAGATCTTGGCAATTGACAGAAGCAAGATGTCAGCAGGATCTCAAACACTTGGCAAGATCTTGGCAAACCTAGATCTTGTTGAAATCACAACAAACATTGAGAAGATCCTATTCTGCATACATCTTGAACAAATTGATGTGTGCAAGATCTTGACCATGCACAATCAGGATCTTGACAAGATCTTGATAGCATCCAGTATCAGTTTTTTTCAAAAGTTCAGCTTGAAATCTTAGCAAGACCTTGACAAGATCTTAGGTACATGTACCTTGCAAAATCTTGACAAGAAAAGTGCAAGATCGTAGCAAGATTCTGGCAAAATTGTACATCAACTAAATTGAATGACTTTGCAAGGCCTTCAGAAGATGATTTTGCATGATCAAGTTAACAAATTGACGTCAGTTTTCAAATTGACGATCAGTTAAAACATCTTTATTTTGCTCATTTGTTGTCTTGTCGTGAACTTTTGTAAAGCCAAATTTACCAAGAGTTGGTTGTCACGGCATCATTTTGAATAGTTCTTGGCATCAGAGAAAGCCGCACAAGCTGTGACAACCAACGTTTACCACATTACAGTAAACAACGCCATGTAACCCAAGAACACCTTGAGAACGTTTCAGGCTCAGCTCCAAAATGAGACATACTTAGAAGAATGTAATATACCATCTTTGATGTCAACCTTACATGCATCATTGAATTCACAAAATCTTGGAAAGACCTTGGCAAAATCATGCATCATTTAAGAGATGAACACAATATCTTGGTAAATGCATCCTGTATATTGAAAGCACGCATAATCAAAAAATGATTATGCCAAAATCTTGGAACATCTTGTGTCACTTATGTTATAATTCACAATCTTGGAAAGAATTTATCAGAAGACCTTGGACAAGTCCTCATCAAGTTCTCACCCAGATCTTCATTGGATCTGACCACAGTCACTGGTAATGATCATGCCTGAAAGTCCTTGGGAAGACACTGTAGGATCTTTTAAATTAATACACTTGAAGATAAGATCATCTTATCTAAATTTTTACATAGGAATTGTACTAAAATTTCAATTTCTTTCAAAAATAATAGCACCATGCATCCTCTTGACAAAGTCTTATTAATTAAACATTATGACAAATACTAAAGATCATGATCAAACCTCTATAATTTTTATTCCAGTCGCAAAGCCTGAGTGGTACACTGTTCCATCTACTGATAATCGTTCTGCAAAACTGTATTCCTTTAATCCATCAATTGGCAGAAGTCCACTATCTGCAAACAGCACAGTAACAGCAGCAGCCTCATCATCAGAAAAAGTTCTTAGTAATGCTGGTTGTGAAAATGCCACATGACTGGACACCTGATTCCACTTTGACCTAACAGAGATATATTTGAAACTAATTAAAGGGTTGTCTAGACTAATAATAGAATAATTACAATAACGTCATGAACTCCACAGGATTTTGCCCTTCTATATAGCCTACAATCTCGATGAAATGAAAATTGGGTTCTGAGCATCCAAACATCCTTCATTAAAATGTAGAGATTGACAGTATTACTAAATGTACATTAAATCCACCCCCCTCCCTAAAACAACAACAATCTTAATTTGTACTTAAGATAATTTGGTTTTATCAACTGAATTTATAATGTGAATTGGCAACCGTAAAGAGATTCGAAACGTCAGCTTTCAAATCTCTTTAAGGTGGCCAATTCACATAATCAACCCAGTTGATAAACCAAATTATATTGTTATACTTCCCACCCATGCAGCACCACAGTTTCTTTAGAAACTTACCCCTCCATTAGTTTATTTGTACTCATCCTTTCTCAAAAGATAATTTTGGCAAAGAAAATATTAAACCAGATAACATCGGCATTCAATGTTGAATTTTGGGGGGGTAACCCCATTTTTTACTGTTCTTGCATAAAGAGGCTTTCAAGTTCAATTTTCTCAACAATTCCGTGCAAGATTGCAGCTTGCCCATTAGCATTAACTGAAGAATGAGCACAAATTAAAGATAAGTTTACTAGTATTTAGTGCTTCCTCATTAAAAAGTTAAACATTGTTTTGTTTTGTGACATTTCGTTTAAATATTGTGGGCTTAGTCTCCTGTGCGTTTACGACCTCACACACACGTACAATGAACTTAATGTTGAGTGACTTAAATTTGGATCATGATTTAAGGCCATAACCCGAGGTAACAGCAGTCTATTTCATTAGTTTATTGTTTCTACTTGTACATTTTACCCTGACAAAGTCCTCGGTATTTCTTGTGCAAGTTGATTATTTACAGAACTACATGTACTACCTAATTAAGCATGAGACAATGTGAAATAATTAAAGGAACAATTGCCAAGAGTGCCAAATTTTGTGAAAACATTTTGCTGTTCAAGAGCTCCTGCTTCACAAAAGTAATAAACAAACACTGAGAGGACAACAAAAACATCTTCAATGTGAAGATGCATATTCACTTCTCTTGTAGATGACACAAGTGTCACACATGTCTTTAACATCACTTAGCTCTGAACTGCACTCATGTACAGCTACAGCTCTTAAGTCATCTCAAGTAAAATGTTTTGCATACCTAGGTTTGGATAAAGACAAATTGGCTGAGAATTGTTTGACACTGAGAGATGTCATCACAGTAGTTTGAAGTTCTTGCTGTAAGGGATGAATCTCTTTTTCAATTAGGTAGTTCGTTATCATCTGCAAAGTTGCAAAATTAACAAAAAAGTGAAATGCTAAAATATGTGACAAAAAATATTACTTTGTTTAGTACATTAATTATATAAAACTTGTCTTGGATTGCACTTATAACACAGTCATACGTCTAGATGAATGATTATTACTATTATGTACCTGTTCAGCCACTCCTCTCGTACCCTTGAATCCCGTTAGAGTGTGTGCAATCATTGCTTCAAATGCAAATGCTGAATGGGTCCATAATGGTCCCAAACATTTCACTTGTTCCTCTAAACGGGTGATACTGTGAACGTTTATGGTCTCACTTCCCTCACCTATAGACAATACACTTTTCATCATTGACCAGACAATCTTATTAACATCACTAGCCTAGCAGTACCAATATCAGAAAATGTAGCACAAAAAACTGATACAGTGCTACTGTAGGTGCAATTGATAGCTCTGACAATCCCATAAATATAACGCCTAACTTCCGGTTTGTATCTACCTTGGTAGTCTGCATTAGTGTGCATGTTTCTTGGTTTTCATTCTCTTTTACACAAATTTTGGCATAGAGTGTGTGCACGTGATGTCATCAAATTCTCAAATCCAAAACTAGAGAGCCACTAAAGGTTTTAACCTCATCAGGCATAAGAGGTACCAAATTTATACCTGTTTAGAACTTTCCAGCTCAATAGCATCCTTCGTTTGGAAACTATCGCCTTTTGAATTTCGAAGTTATGGCGGTGCGTGCCATAACGCGAAAAGCGCATTTGCCAAAAAATATACACTTATCTCATGATTTTTAGCCATGTTAGGAGTTTAAGTATCAGGAAATGTGCTTTTGTAAATATTTTTTGGTTTGGTTCAGATAATCAGTCGACTAGATGGCCAAAGTAAGTTCCAGATGTTTACACTATTTACTGGCCGCCATGTTGGAGGACTAAAGAGGTCCTCCAACATGGCGGCTCCATACTAGGCTTTGTTATAGTGTGCGGAACATTTTGACGAATATCTCAACTTTGGGACAATTAATGCAGACACCTTAAACTTGGAGAACTGTCTTCGGTATTTATCTTCTACAATACCACAATTTTTTGACTTTATCCGATGCATGGTTTTTTATTTTATTTTCTATTGCCTGACAATGCACACATTATTATCACAATATTACTTGGTACTAGGTTCCAATATTTGCATACAGGGAGACAGATAAAGAGGGGAAACAATCCAAGAAGGCTACCATTAGACTTGGTTCTCACTTCCTTTCCTAAAACACTAAGCATCCCACAAAGGAAACTGTTCCTCTTGATGCTTGTATTAATACTAATTGTATGATGATAAATTATTACCATAGAGTGGTTCCATGAGACGGCAAAAGGACCTCATTATTTCACCAGCAAGGGCTAACTCTTCCCTTGAAATCTCATTTTTCAAAAATATCCACAATCCAGTTGTGAGAAGAGCAAGATGATGGAAATGATCACCATCTAAAACGCCTTTTAGAAGTGGAAGGCCAAAGTAAAGCAGGAAATGCTGCATCTCTGTGGCTGTAAGTAAGAATTGATTAATTAACCAAAAGCTGTCATGTGCACCAGTCAACAGTTTCAAATTGAACCTGTTTAACATTAAGAATAGTTTACTTTTCTTTTTAATGTGACTTAACCTTTTACATTTCTGGTCTATTATTGAATGAGAATTAGAAGATGAGAATGATCATCGCAATTATGAACACTGCTTAAGCAGTAGTGAAAATAAAGCCTGAAAAAAAATACTAACAAAATGACCATCTCTCACATGGCTTATTAGCTCAGCTAGGAGAGCACTGCACCAGTATCACAGAGGTAAGTGCTCCAGTACAACCCTGATGTTTTTTCAGGCTTTAGTTTCACTACCACTTCACACCATAATTCACAGTTCATATATGTGAATTTCACATGTTCACAATCAATTAGAATGTTATAGTGCACTCTTAAAATCCTGTACTGACTTGCAAACACAATGAAAGAGAGAATGTAATTCCATTTCATATAATAATAATGATATTTGTCACCTGCATAGGGATATACTCTGACATTTCCAGCAATGTCTAGTCTGACTCCAGGGTGAAAACAGACCTTTCAGAATGCATGCAGCAAAACACATGTTACAATGTGAGTAGCTATACCAAATTACATGTAATAATAACATATATGAACAAAGCAGCAGAAATTGTCCCTTCAGATGTAATGCAGGAAAAAGTGTACATGTAAAGTCGCAATAATTTCTAATTATTAGAAATGAATAAATACCATACAACCAAACAATCCATTATAAAGCTTGTGTAGGAAGACAAGGGCTTTTCCTGGCAGGTCACATATGCAGCAGTGCAGATGCACTTTGAAAGTTATGAATTCATCTTCCCATTTGTTGCATACAAGAAGACCTGAAAGATAAGAACAACTGTGATGCTGCTGTACTTTTCATCACTCCAGTAATTTCCGTGGGAACAACGAATTGCTATTGATGATTATGAATATGTACAAAAAATATTATTTACCAATCTAAATGGAGTTTCCAGATTAACCTTTAACTTACTGTTATTGTTTCCCTTTTTCCTGACCTCGATCCTGTATTTTTTTTAATGTAGGAGTGTAAACGATAAAAGCTCTCTGGATTGATAAGCAGTTTGTGTTCTAAGAGCAAAATAAAGTTGAGCCAAAAACTACTTTTGGAATGTTTACCTTCAGTCTCCAGCATTTCAATTTCGCAAAGAAATGCTTCCAAAAAGGAATTGATTTTGGGTTTCTTCACACCATACCAAAGCCCAATGAGAAGAACATTCTTCACCGAATATCTGAACATATAATAATAAGAAGTATCACTAAAAGATGGAGAGGCGGAGAACATGAATTATACATTCCATTATATAAACTGACAATGTAATAACAAATTAATGAATTGTCTTGAGCCAACAACATTTCTTTTGCCAACACGGCTCAAGAGAAGTAATTAACATGTCTATTATTTGTGTTGTTTGCTCTTGTTGGCCTGTGAAACACATGTTAATCCAGCTTCATAACAGCGCAGCTGAGCTCAGAATTCCATTACGATATATTACTCCCATTCACTGCTAAAATCAGTTATAATGTTCCTAGCAATAATTATTGCTTGTCCTGGTAGTGCAGTGTTGATCATACCTGGCTAGGTTCCAGTGAATGTGGGTTCAAATCCTGCTCAAGGCCTAATTTATCTTTCAAGTTTAAAATTTCTGTACAGTTTTGGAAAAAAATTGGTTAATTGCATGTATGCGGTGAAAAAATATGGCCACCACTCCACATATAAATTTATCTGCTGACAATGGAAATGACCATCAACTACCTACTGTACATGATTGTACATGTAATAAAAGGTTGTGTGCATCACAGTAGCAGGAATATAGGAATATATTAATAGAGGAACCTTTTCTGTGATGGAAGATCTAAAATACACAGATATAGTGGCCAAATAGAGCACTGAATGGACTTGAACACAGGAGCTTCATCAGTACTAATAATCAAACTTAAGTGACAACATGTTCTATCTCCACTTTCACTGTGTACTTCCTTGTAAAAATTCTTGTATAAGGTTCCATCTGTGATGTCTTTATAAGAGCTTGCTTCTTCAGTGCATTCCAGGACCTGCTTTCTGCAAGCTCCAAAAATTTCTGAGAAGTTCTCTGAAAAGCAATTACATTTGGACCTGAGAATAACAAAACAAAAAAGGAGAAACTTTTCATCTATTTTCTCTTTTATCTAAACACAGAATGATACCTTGACACGATAGATGATTCAATTGATAAACTAATTAACTGATTAAATATTTATGACTGGAGCTTGTTAAAGTAATAAGGGTGCAAGAATAATTTCTGTCAAGACAAAGGCAGTTTAAGTGAAAATTTTTGTATCATTTCATAAGACACTTTGTGACCTATACACGAAGATGTAATGTGACGAGGAGATGTGAAGCAACATTGAAAGCTCAAGAGGTAAACGCTGATAAGATGTTTCCATGGAATATAAATGGTTTGGGACACTTCATGATGCTGACATTATGTATGCAGAGTAACCTAATATAATTTGAAATATCCCACAAGTCACTTGTATTTTCTTTGTACACACACAAGCCTTCAGCCGCAAGTATGCAAAGAAATTACAAGTGACAAGTGGGATACTTTATAGTATATCGTGAGAGAGTCATGCATACCTATTTTATACCATGTCATAATAGCTTTACACAATCAATTCAGTGCATGATAGGAAGGTTTGGGGAAATTCTGACAAATATACAACAGCTTTCCTGCAATCTGATTGGCTGTATTTCTGTAGCATGGTAAGAACTTTGGTATGGCTCACACCCATGGCTTGCATGCTTTGTTTGCTTCCACAGTGTCCACTCTCTCAAACAGCCACCGATTATCTTTTAAAGTGCAATGAACTCAGCCGGACCCGCCAACACTTTGAATTGTAGAGATAATTCTCTTTTTGGATTGGCTTATGAACGATCAAAGCCAGACTCCAATGTTGTGCATTGGTAAATAATGTTTGGGTTGGCCCCGCAGTTGAGTTTGTTACACTGAAACTAACCTTTCCACATCAGTTTTTGGTTATACTGAAAAATCAGAGTGTTCACTTCTATGAATACAAAATAGAGGGGCTCCGCTGTATATTAAATCGTGATCGAGCCTCACATTCAAACTGTGTTGTCATGCCCACTGCAAGCCGTTGACAGGTTAAAAATTTATAGGCGCAGGAATTGATTACTTTCTGGTAATGTTAAGTTCTATCTACCTCATATAACATAATGATTAAAAGGTTACCTTCAATAATCATTTTCAGCTGTGGTTCCAGGGGTAATTCGATGAAGTATGAATCCTCTTTAGTTGGTCTTCCCACAGGATGTCCATCTTCACACTCCGTGGCATCTCCTTCTATTCTGCAAATCGAACAAACCCGTACTTTCGCAATGTTGGCTAGTGATGGCATAGTCTTTTTTAACAGTTCCTTGTAAGTTTGGGGTAAAGCAATTTCAACCCCCTCAGGACAATGTAACTTAAGTAAAGTGAGTAGATCATTCTGAGCTTTACGGGGAAGCTTGTACTTGCGACTAAACTGCGTAATGAGAATACAACTTGCACCCACAGACAAATTAGATCCTTCGTAAATGCTCTTCGTAAATACGTTTGCGAGATCACTTCCATCGTCCGAAATGAAAGAATCCTTGTCACTATCATCTGAACTGCTATCGTTTCGACTCGAATCGTCACACGAATCGAGTTCTTCACCGTTTGAACCGCTAGAGTTGGACAACAGATATGCACGAGTTTGATCTTCTGTTTCTTCATTCACAACCGCAGCATTGATCTCTGTATGACCACTACAATCACTATCAACCGAAAAAGTGGACAACTGCTTGTTTTCTGTATCTTGAGACGAAGGAGATTGCCAATCATTGGTCGCTTCCTTTTATATACGGCACATACGGACGTGGAAGATCTGCTAAACCACTTTCGCTTTCATTTGAAGATGCAAACCCATCTTTTGCTGCTGAAACTATTTTGCTGCAATCTGAAACTGTTTTAATTGAATCAAAGAGCCCGTCATCATCCGAGGTGTCCTCTTCGTAGTGATGTTTACACGAAGGAAGACGCACTTGTCTTGTCGGTCTTCGCCTCAGTTTTGGTCGTCTCGTTTTTCTCTGACACCCATCAGCATCGCTAGTGTCGCTGCTGTTCGAAATCTGTCACTTGATTCCATTGCTACAAGATTCTTGAAGTTCTATTAATTCACCGACGTCACTGTCCGAATCCATTCCATCTTCACTTGTTTTGACGTTTCGAGGATCGCTAGAGGAGCAATGCCAACTACGCGTGCAAAGCGGGAAATTTGTGGTCACTCCATTGGATGATACAACTTTGATTGACAGCCAAAAGAAAGGCGGGAAATTTCATGCCTGCTTATTGGCTGAGCTGATACACGGCGTATCCCATTTTGATGCGCATGTGTGCGTAACGGTCAGACATACTTTTTGAAGCTCTGCTTAAAGCGTTCAAGAAAGTCAATTTAGGCACTTATAATTTCACATCAACAAGTCAAATCGCTTAGGAAAAGTAATGAGGATCTAAAGAGAATGCTCGATTCTGCTCGATGTGATATAAAATCACTAGAGGAGCGGGTTGGTGCTCAAGAGTTGGTTGTCAGAGAAGAAGCTAATGGCGGACGGGATGGCGTGGCGGCTCGAGACATTGGTTTAGAAGAGAGTCAGGACATGTCCAAAATATTAATCCTTGACCATCTTACACCGAGAATGCAGGAGTTGTATGGGAACGCCAAGTCATTCAAGACCAGGTTTGGTTTTCAGTTCTGCTGGGTCAAAAACGGAACCATTTTCCTTCGCAGATCAGAAGATTCACGTTCTTTAAAAGTCCGTTGCCCTGACGATCTCTCTCGGATCATCCAAGATGAACAGGAAGCGCTCAGCTAAGTATTTGTATGACTGTAACTAGAAGATTTTAGTGCTCTCATATTTAGCAATGCCGATTTCAACCGAAGTTAAGCAAAACAAAGCTTTCTTCCTTGAATTACCGTACCGTGGGCAGAGCTCCATAATCCAGTGCCATGGCAAATATAATAATCTCTTAACAAATGATAACCTTCCTTCTAAAAAATATCTTGAACGATTACCTAGCCTGTATGACATTGATATCTTCAGTCTGAACTCTGTAAACAGTAAATTTTACGACACAGATTTCTCTGCTATTTATCCCATCCGCTGTAAATACTATTCCCCGAATAGTTTTAGTCAGCTAAAAAATCAGTTAAATGAACAACGTTCTGATAGTCATTTATCTTTTTTTCATAACAATGTTAGCAGCTTAAAAGGTAATCTCGAAAACTTCCAAACCCATTTGCTCGATGAACTTAATTATCATATCAGTGTTATTGGAGTAGCCGAAACCAGAATTAGAAATGCAAATTCTATGGACTTCAATCCTGAAATCACAGGTTACACTTTTGAATACGTCCCGACACCTCTTTCAGCGGGTGGCGTCGGCATGTATATTGATTCAGAGTTAAGATACACAGTTTTAGAGAAAAGCTCTAACGAAGCTTTTCAGGCATTATGGGTTGAAATTTTTCAAACAAATGCAGCAAACATAATCTGCGGAGTGTTATATCGTCAGCATAATTCACCTGAGCTTTTCCTAAAGTATTTTGAGGAAACCACAGAAAACCTTATAGCTACTGGCAAGCCTGTATATGTCATGACTGACGCTAATATTAATCTCCTTTCCTTTGATTCTTGCAACTATGCACAAGATTTTCTTCTAACTCTCCAGAGCCTTAACTTAACTCCTTGTATCGACAAACCAACTCGTGTGCACAGAAATTCTTTCTCGTTAATCGACAATATATTTACAAACAAAGTTAATGAGAATATCATTAGTGGCAATATAATCTCTGATATTTAGACCACTTCTCGCAGTTTTATTTAACAAGCTCGCTTGTAGTCAAAGGCAAACCCGAGAGACCTCTTGTGCGCGATTTTTCCCAATTTTCTGAAGAAAATTTTATACACGACTTGTCACGTATTGATTGGGTTGACATATTCTCCCGTAATTAAACTAATATCGATAAGGCTTTCTCTTCTTTTTACAATAAATTAAATAAGTTGATCAATAAGCACGCTCCATTAAAACCAATATCCCGGCGGAAACTCAAATCTTTTTCTAAACCATGGATTACAAAAGGAATTCGAAAATCCATTAAAATGAAAAATAAACTTCTTGACGGGGGTAATATTAAACTCTTTAAGATGTATAGAAATAAAATCTCAACATTAACTCGTCTTAGTAAAAAAATTTACTTCCATAATTATTTCCAAAACAACCTAGAAAATGCTAATATACTCAACCGCCATTTTGCTTCTATTGGAAACCGTCTCGCCTCTGATCTACCAAGTAGCGATAAGTCTATTC